AAATATATTATGTGTATTTTTGTATGTGGAAACATGGCTTGCCCACTAATAAATATAAAGAAGTGTGGTCTGCAGTTCTTTTTTTTTTTTTATTTGTAAAAAAAACTTTAGTATAAACAATAAAACACTCACAGTGCAAGGCTAGTTCACCAACATGTCTATTCTCTTGCTTGAGTGTGAAAGTACATGGTTTAGTGACTATCTCTTATATTTTTAAATTTTAGAATTTTTTTTTTATTTGGGAAGGTTCTTCTATAAAAATAGAACAGATATACATATATATATATATATATTAGGCTAGTCTGAGTCTCAAGTTAGAAGTTATAGCGTTGTGTGCAAATATCGTTAGATTCGTGGAAAAACTAATATATTTTCCAATTCTGAGGAATGTGTAGTTGTTTTCATTCAAATGCTATGGTTAGAATGGTTGTAGATTATACAGGCACAAATGTAGTGCAACATGTCAAATGGATTGTAACAAAAATATATTGCAAAACAGTGGTTCCAAGAGAACGCCCCTAGTATGTGAACGGTTTTCCTTTCTGTTTGTATGTATTGAGGTACAGGCGCTTCGCGGTAAAAAAAAAAAAAAAAACAGGTACGTTAGAATTAAAAGCAGGAAAAAATAACAAGCTACTTATCGTAATTTATTATGTGAACAATTCTGAGAAACTAATCTGTGAGTAAAAAGCATGGGTGTCTTGCATATGAAAAGTATGCGGTGAATATGTGAATTAATCAACGATGTAGTGTCATAAATCAGTTCGATATACTGAAACCAAACGCCCTTTACTTTGGCAATAACCTTTTCTTGTTATGATTTGTATATGTATTCACGTCTCGAACGAGGTTAATACTTCTCACTTCCGGTCTGCTTAGACTTAAAATATACTACGAATATTTACTTTTGAGATATAATTTTTGGTATGTGTTGATTCTTGGATATTTCAGCTCTGACATCTTGTACTTCGTTTAGTAATTTGGACTTCCTATATTGCGTAAAATATACCAGTAGTTTCGCGATTTTGACACAGAAATTGTCTGGGATAAAAATGTTAAACAAAATGAATTGTTATACAAAAATTGCAATAACCATATCAGGGATGTTATTCATGAGATTAATAACAAGTGGAATAAGCTAATAAGTATCCGATGTTTCCTTTACAGCTAGATTTCTGTCTCATTTCTAGCATCTCTAGCTACAATAGCGGCATTCACGTTACAGATCTCAGCACATGCCGAGAATCGAGACCGAGTCGGCGTGTGCCGAAAAAAGTCGATCTCGGTCCCAACAGAGAGTCGGGTCGAAATTACACGAACAATATTGTATTGTTGTATGTTGTATTTTTAAATTCAATTTTCCTGAAAAATAAAAAATTGAGCTAATAGTCCGCAATATAAAAAAACACACATGTGCATTGGTTTTTGATGACGCAGTACACACGTAAATGTTTGGGAAGTGCGCATGCTCTGGTCTATGCTTCATAATATCCGCGTAGATAATTTTGTCTTTTTGCTCTGATGTTTTGATTTTCACGGGATTTAACCCGTTTTAGTTCGAATAAAGGTAATATAAGTCGATCGATAGTTTCTACCGATATCATGCTTGAGTTGTGTGAAGCGGATCGAAATATAATTTCGAAAATCTTGTTATTTTCGGGAAATTTCGATGTCATGGTGTCGACGCTTTCTTACTTTGTGTTATTATATGAGTGGTAGGCGAATGCACCGGCGACTGACTAACTATGCCGATCCTACTTTAGGTCATTTTTATTATCCGAGAAACGTTCCGAGCGCCTGTGGCAAATTCCTCAGGTGCTCGGGCAAATACCCAAAATAACACCCGGCTTTCGCCATTTATACAGTCACGTAATGTTTCATCGAACAAACACACAAACAATCAAGCAAGAGACTGTTTGCAAGTTTAAATAGTTACATATACTGTTTCGCAATGCAACTAAGTCTTCTAATAGAGTGCCCCAAAGGTCATAGTTCATTGTTCGGTATATATAACTAAACATCATACATGTATATACGTGTTGTGTACAGTCAAGATCATGGCAGTGCCGAATATACCCACCACTGGTCCCATTATATTGCACGATACTGAACCTGAAATCGACGGGATACTGTATCCGAAATTTATGCAAGAGAAAGTACTGAGACGAATTAAAGACATTGAAGTCCGTGAAGATGATGTATGGTTACTATCTTACCCTAAAACAGGTAATGTTAAGGTCACCGTAACCATGCTCAATGTCAACTCAATGTGATATCTATAACGCTAAACCAATAATATCATACGACGTTTAAAATGTAATTATAGGTTGTTTGATCTATCAACTGTGACTGTGAAATGTACCAGTGCAAATCGGTTATCCACCCGTACCCGTGAGGGGTGTGCAACATTCACACTATGTAAATACGTGTCATGGTGGCTATTCATCATAGTGAATAGTGTTGTCGACTATTGATTTTAATGTAGGAACCCACTGGATGAAAGGAGTATTGTATCAGATATTCAACCACGACACACCAGAAGGCAGTGGGGACAAAGAGGCAATGTCGCCAGATGATTTTGTGCCATTCCTTGAATTCCCCGATTTTAAGAAACCGGGTGAGTACAGTGATTATTGACGACCTGTGAAGTCGGTAACTGGACACACCATCCCGGTTAAAACACCTCATTGCATATGCAAATAGAAACGTTCGGGTCAGACTGATGGCAAAATATCTGTATAATTATAGAATAGAATAGAATAGCATATTTTATTTGACACAAAATGAAATATATGTCATATAACATCTAAGGTCATCCTATAAAAAAGAACAATGTACAATAAATAAACAGACAGACAGATTGTTGGGATCATCAGTGTCATACATTCTGCCTCAGACTAGTAATACATTAATATTACTAGTCTGAGATTCTGCTGAGTCACTGAATGATTGTTGGGATCATCAGTGTCATACATTCTACCTCAGACTAGTAATACATTAATATTACTAGTTTGAGATTCTGCTGAGTCACTGAATGAGTGTTGGGATCATCAGTGTCATACATTCTACCTCAGACTAGTAATACATTAATATTACTAGTTTGAGATTCTGCTGCATCACTGAATGATTGTTGAGATCATCAGTGTCATACATTCTGCCTCAGACTAGTAATACATTAATATTACTAGTCTGAGATTCTGCTGCATCACTGAATGATTGTTGGGATCATCAGTGTCATACATTCTGCCTCAGACTAGTAATACATTAATATTACTAGTCTGAGATTCTGCTGCATCACTGAATGAGTGTTTGGGTCATCAGTGTCATACATTCTGCCTCAGACTAGTAATACATTAATATTACTAGTTTGAGATTCTGCTGAGTCACTGAATGAGTGTTGGGATCATCAGTGTCATACATTCTGCCTCAGACTAGTAATACATTAATATTACTAGTCTGAGATTCTGCTGAGTCACTGAATGATTGTTGGGATCATCAGTGTCATACATTCTACCTCAGACTAGTAATACATTAATATTACTAGTCTGAGATTCTGCTGCATCACTGAATGATTGTTGGGATCATCAGTGTCATACATTCTGCCTCAGACTAGTAATACATTAATATTACTAGTTTGAGGTTCTGCT